GTCTTTTTATTGTGACCCAGTAGCCTAATCATACCAGCTTAAAAGATCATTATATACATTATGTTACTAGTTACATTGTAGACGAATACCTTAACAAATCCTATACTCAGGTGCACAAAGTCGAACATACTCTTAACTCAGGCAGTAATGACCACTTTACGCTTGATTTTAACACCACCAAAGTTTATCCTCAGCACATAATTTGCTTCCCATCACATTATTATATAATGCAAAACAGTCTCACAAGGGACCTCCTTCCTTCCAAGTGCTTGTGGAGATTATCTGATGCAGCTTTTTTTCTTGCACAAGCACATATAAAGCAAACATATACATTGAAAGAAGCTCTCTGTACAGCATTACTTAAGTAGTCTTACAGTTTTGAAACTGCAACTAGCACCATGATCAAGACTTTATGGCAGGAACATGGATTCAAGGATTAACTCTTATTCTCAATTGTTTTTCAGTGTTCCCATCCTATGGGGGGACAGTATCCCATATACAAGACCTCAGTAATTACTACAGCAATGCAGTAGCAGTGTCATTCTGATCCTATCAGGGGAGGGGAAGATAAAAGTGAGACTGAGAGAATAGTAGCTTCCTTAGGGCTACTGACCTAGCATATTCCCATGAGTTGGGAAACACTTAGCGGACCAGGGGCCCATAAAGTACAAATAAAATAAGATGGTATCCAAACTGACTACAGAGCAGCCAAAGGTCCAAAACTGGGTTGCTTTCAAACTTATTTTGCTTCTTTTTGTATTCCACAGTAGCTACAGAATACTAAAAAGGGTCAAAAAGATTTCTAGAAGGGAACTCTCAGTCTTAAAAAAATGTGTGGACCACACATTGTCCACTTCTGTTTTACATCAACTCACACTCTTACGCAGCATTAGTAAGTTCTCTGTCTAAGGACAGAAGATTTTATAATGCATAAAACAGACAACCATCAAAAAATACATACGGAGTAATGCGTGTTACACTGCATATTTTTAAAAATATCTGGAGATGGGATCTGGACCTTATTATGGCTAGTAACCATTTATTAAGCTATGCTGAAGAGTATATTCTAGGTGCTGTTTAAGACATGGCTTACAAGCTTGTTAACCATGAATAACTCAGAAAGAGTTTGTTGTTGGGTTGTGAACCTTGGTTTTTTTAAAAAAATCAGAGATTGTTACGGGTAACCCAGAATCACAGATTGTTTTTCCAGATTGAAGTGGAACAAGGAAGCAGTCAAGAAACCTAACCACTCTACATGTACTTACTACAGTGCAGCAAAGACAAACAAGAAAAGTAAGACATGAATTGAGATAATGAACCATTGTTTGTTTATCACCTGCCAGACAAACCTTGGGTAGGCAGCAAATCTTGAGTTAAATAAACCACAGGTTAGCATTTTGTGAGAATCAGATCATTTCACTAACAAGGTAGCAAGTCTCCCACGGTTCTGTCCACCCACCTATTCCCAAACCCGGTCCTCAGAGGCTGTAACTGTAAAAGAAGACTGACCAAAAGCTTCTACCACCTCTGCCAAGTTCTCTTATCATCCCAAACACTGAAATTGGCAGTTGTTGCCCAATACCAGTATTTTGCAGAACAAACTGGTTGGCCCACTCTTATCATAAGCCATAACCTTAAAGTTATCCTGTCATCATAACAGCAATTTAACCCATAAAAAAGGAAGCACTAGCAGTATGTTGCAAACTTTGGCAGTGAAAAAACCAAGTTCAAACTAGTAATGTGGCGAGAAGAAAGGGATAAATCCATTGGATATGGACGCACAATCCATTCCATCTTAAGGCCAAAGTTTCAGCCTGGATCTGAATTGGCTCATTTTTTTCCTGCTTACAACCAGCATCACTTCTCTTCATTCTTCTCAAACTTACATAGAGCAGGGAAAGGCCTAAGACCAGGAATGGGCAATCTTGCATCTGTGGGCCAAATAAAGCCCATGTTAATTCCCCATACAGGCCACAAACGTTTGTTGTCAGGGGGTGTTTAAGACAATTAAAATAGTATTTAAGGGCACTTAACCTTTAGATGTCCTGCCAATAATTGATTTGTGCTTTGCAGGCAAGAGTCCTGTTACACAGCACTGAGGGGGGCATTTTGCAGGTCTGAAAGCTGTTGAACTGAGGCTTACTGCTGAGTAGCCTTACATAGAATTGACCTGCCTTTTGAATCCTTAGCTGAGAAGCATCTACATTGGTACTAATTACAACTCTGCTTTTTCTGTCTTTGGCCTTTTTCTATCCTGTGTCCTCAGCTTCCTCACCCCCACCCCCAACATGCCTATCTGCCAGAATATGACCCTCAAGGCCCTTTCAAATTAGAATTTGGTTCTCATGCTGTAAGGTTGACATGATTCCCGGAATCCTTTAACACTGATGGAAAGTCATAATTCATACTCTAAGGCCTACTTCCTAGGCAGGATAGTGAAAATAAGGAAAAGGGTCTTTTCAGTGGTGGCCCCCCAGTTTTGAAATGGGATCGCCACTGAGGCCCACCTGGTTCCAACTTTACTATCTTTTCTTTATTACAGGGCATTCAATTAGTCTACTGGGACATGCTAGTTTTTAAACAGGTCTTAAGATTTTCTTCTAGTTATTATATATATTTTAATCTTTTAAATTTTGTATTGCAAATTTTATTACAATACGTGTAATAATGCAATACATGTACTAAACAATACATGTTTTAATATGGTGTATTTCATATTGTATTCTTAATGTACTGTTGTTCTGTTGCCCAGAAAGCTTTGAATGTTGGGCTGTACAGAAATTAATTAATTAATTAAGATAGTGTATTTCTTATGGTTCCTGGATTCTGCCAGAAAAAGCAGCAGCATCAACACCTACCATCCTGCCTGCTTCTACTGTGTAAAGTAGGGAAATGAAAGTCTGTGCAGGTCCATGAGAAATCCTGGGTATATTTCCCTGAAAATGCGTTGCTTTGTTCAACCACCATTCCAAACAAAGCCTGAGAAAGGCTCAGTCAACTGTTTGGTTGTGAAACTCACCAAGCAAGCTGTCATCTCTCTCAGCTTAATCTACCTTACAGGGCTGCTCTAGGGATTAACAATGTCTTGGGTAGTTCTGGGGGGGGGGGGGAATCTAAATAAGCATAGTAGAACGTGTTAGCACATAGTTCCAGAGACCAAGTCAGGGGTTGACTGGAACCTTTAGAAGTGCTGTGCCACAACTATGCCTCTTTCCAGAAAACACTGCTGAATCAGGGGACAGGGATAGACCATATTTAACACTTAAGAGAACTTGCTATGAAGCATACTACCAATCTGCATTGTCATGTCTTCATGTTCAGAAACCAAGACAGAACATAAATGAGGGGCAAAAAATATCTACAGATTTCTCTTCCCCACCTTACCAAGCATTACAAATAAATCCAAAAGTAGACCCCAGAAAGTATATTTCAAGTACACTGCAAATCATTCAAAAATATATTCATAGTACAAAATATAATTTTAAAACATTTGAGTCAAATGTCTCACATGCTCCAATTTCTATTATTACTTAGAAGAATCCATTCATAGTAAAGTAAAAATATTTTTTTGAGAAGGATTTATGGGGCATGGGTGTGGTAATAAAATACTGGATTCTTCTGATAAATGAAAACTGCCAGGCAAATGATCACAAGCCTGCCTTTAGGATTCTATTTGAAAGGCTTAGATTAAATTATAAGATAGCTCCAAATTTATGAAAGTCTGATGTGGAAAGGCAACGGACAATTGCAACCTTCATGACTGCCATCTACTTCCTTCTACCAACAAAAAATGCTTAGTATTCAGAGAAGGTACCGCGTGATTCTGGCCTGAGCCATGCTGCAATCCTCTTTCCAGGAAGGGCAGAAGATGGAAGAACTCCAGTTCCGCAAACTCACCTAGAACAATGTACCCATCTAAATCAACAGCACAGCTCTCACAGTTCAGCAGGTTCCATTCAAGGCCCTGGGACAGAAAGCTTAAGATAACTATCAGTATTCCCCATGGATAATATTCACCATCCCATGTACTGTCTAATGTTTCTTGCCTCCTCCCCGTCCCTACCTTCATTAAATGCACACTTTGAAGCCATTACTGCAGAGTACATGGGGGGGAGGGAGCAAGTCTTTCCATCTGGGAAAGCACTCAGCATCTGGGATCTTCTTTCTTTCCCAAGACATTTTCATTAGAAACTGTGTTATGAAAGACTTTCACAGCAAATCCTGTCATTTTAAATTTCATTTTCTAAAGTTAAAACAAAACAAAACACAGGCACACAGTTCCTGCTAATTGCCATATTGATCAGAAAAGATGGAGATAAAATTACCATCCATCACAGGAGATAGAACAAGCGTCCTTCCTTTCGCCCCACCAGGGACCCAACCTATATACAGCAAACCTGGGCTTCAAGATTCTTCACTCAGTAGTAGCTTCCAGCCCATACAGCAATTAAAAAGCAGCAAACAAGAACATCAAGAAACGTTCCAATCCAAATACATGTAGGCATCCCGAACTCTTGACTCGGTTTTAGAAAACTGAGAATTTAAAAAATAAAACTCGAGACCGGCCTCTTCGTCGTCATCAGAAACACAGCCAGGAGGGCAAGCAATGTGAAGGGTGGGTGGGGGGAGGGTGATGCGAGAGGGCTCAAAAATGTTTTGCCCGCATTGCACACGCTGCCTTTCCCCTCCCCCACCCACACCCCATTTACACGGGAGAAAGAGGGAAGGAGAGCGGCTACTTTTCTTTTCCACGGAAAGACGACGGGGATGAAGGAGAGCGTGTCCCCCAGCCCAGGGAAAGGGAGAGGAGGGGGGCTCTCCTTCCTTCCTTCCACCCACATGATTTGGGGAGGGGCGTCCTTCTGCCCCTCGATAGGAGGGAGGCCTCCATCCTGGTGCCTGGGCGGGGAGATGCCGTGAAAGAGACGAGGAGGAGGAGGAAAGCGGCTCTTTCCTCCAGGCCCAGCCGGCTGAGCTGTCCGTGACCTGGCACATCTTACCGCGATCACATTGACGAAGGTGGTCTTGCCCGAGTACTGCAGCCCCACCAGGGTGAGCTCCATCTCCTCCTTCCAGAAGAGTGCCCGGAACCAGTCCAGCAGCTTGGTAAAGAGCGCCAGCATCCTGCCCCCTGCCTCAGCTCCCGGCCCCCGATCACACAGCGCAGCCAGGCCTAGCTCCTCTATTGTCCCCTGGAACGAACCGGCCTCGCCGCCGCCGCCGCCGCCGCGCTCTGCCTCCGGACGCTCGCTCACACAGTCGGCTCGAGTCTCTCAGCTGCTGATGGGTGGGGTCAGCCAGCCACTATCAGGCCCGGGTGGAGACGCAGGGCTCGATGGCTTCTGCCGCAGGACCCTACAGCGGCCCCTGCAGGCCGGGAGGACTCCGAAGCGTTCTCCGACAAGCTCCCTCGGAAGGCCCAGCAGGATGAGGTCCTGTGTGCTGCTGGTGTCCTGATTCTATCAATAACATAAAGAACGGCCATATTTTTGTTTTCCCCGTGAGATTTTATTCTATTTTATAGAAAAGAAATAAAAGTAAAGTATAAAAAGGAAGAAAAAGAATATGCATAAGAAAACAACAGGATCACTAAGGAAACCAAAAATAACTTTAATTCTTTGGGTGCAATCCTATGCATGTTCCAACAGAAAAAAAGTCCTGTAACCCCGTGCATTCCCCAGTTGGTTTTTCCCTCCTGGGTTTTTTCCCCTGTTGAGCAAAGAATTGTGCCCTTGGTCTGTCACCCATATGCTTGTGGAAAATTAACACTAAAACAACCTTAATAGGTGCTCAATATCTATGTACCTTTACTGAACTCTGGGACCACAGGGTGTCATTACAGAAGGGATATCTGTTCAGGGCAACTTTGTTTCCTCAATAATAAGGCAAGTCGCTACACATGTCTATTCAGAATAAAGCCTAACTGGGTTTAACACAAGATTATTTATTATATAAGGAAATGCCAAAGGGTTGCAATCTTACAAGATGAGGAATGGAGAACAAGCTTTCTCAATGTATGTAATAAATAGAAATCTAAATATGATTGTCACATTTGGCTCCAGGTGTTCCCAGACATCCAGCTTAAAACATACATGTACAACTGTGAGTGTGATGCAGATTTGATACCACATGCGTGTGGAGGGTGAGAGCCCTTAAGGTGAGTCAGTAAGAAGGGAACAGGATTGGCTAATGCAGGAAATGCCTTCCATCTCTCTTGAGTCCAGTGTTGATCAGTAGCAGGGGGAAGGTAGGAATGTCTGCACTGAAGTACTTCAGCCTTCTTCTCCAAGCCTTTACCCCGGGGTTCCTGTTCAAAGGCAGGGGCTCTATGCACTCCCCCTCTATGCGGGGAAGAGAAAGATAACTAGTTCTTCCAGTTGTTGATTGTTTTTGATTGTTGAGATATATATATATACTCTTTTAAAAATAAACATAAACCAAGGCCAAGTTCCATATATCCCCCATTGCTTCATCATAGTTTCATTTTTAGATACAAAACAAGTCAAAATTTCTCTTGAACTCAAACACTGCCTTTCCTACAATAAAATGAAGATCATTGTCTTCTTGTTAGATACTAAGGAGATCACCCTTCATATTGCTATTGATGTTATGCACTGTACAACCTCATACATTTAGGTTAAGTACTTTCACATTTTTCAAATAGTAGCTTCCTCTGTTATTTTCACATCAATTTTCAGTTGTAACTGTCACAGATATCTTTCTTACTTTCCCTCGGAAACACACAGGGAATGTAAGTGCTCCTGCAAGACATTTTTCTACATTCATCACTGCCAAGAGGTATCTGCTACTGTGAAGTCAAGGCTTCAGTGTGAAATTTCAAAGTGGAGGTATTCTTACCAGGCAGAGCAGCTGGAGGAGGAGAGTTGCACTGCTTTTTCTCCAGTATGAGATGAGGATTCAAGAAGCCCAAACATGGCCTTTCCCCCAGAGATTTCTAAAAACCTAGCTTAGATTAGCGGTGGGCAGAGGAAGTAGGCAAATAAGCCACAGCAGCTAAATAAAACCTTCAAATTCAGAGGGAGCATATTTCTGAATACTAGGAATTAAGAAATAGGAGAAGTTTATGGTTTCAATTATCTGTTTCTATGCTATTAGAACAGGAACAGGCTCTTTATGGCCCTCCAGACGTTTTGTCCTACAAATGCCATCAACCCAAACTATGTAGCCAGTGGTGAGGGATGGTGGGAGTTGTAGGCTAAAACATTGGCTCTCCTTTTCTAGAGGTATCTGGTTGGTGACTACTATAATCAGAACACTTTATGAAATATACCCCTGGTCTCATGCAGCAGGATGCTTTACAATTGGCCAAGATAGTAAATCAGGAGTAGGCAAGATTCATTGAAGAAGACAGTGCTAGGAAAATGCTAGGAAAAATGGCAGGCAGAAGGAGGAGAGGATGTTGTCAGAGCCTAGGCTTTTACAGCATTGATGTGGATATGTCTTGAGTACAGCTTCTTCATGAGAAGCTGTCAGATATTGCAAGGGGGTGGAAAATGAAACATTAAGATCTGGTTGATCTTTTTGAGGCAGAAACAGGGAATGACAGTTCCTACCAAAATTGAAAAAGCAGGCTAAAATAAGCCTTACTACATTGTTTCATCTAGTACATCAGAATGCTCATTCTCCAGCCTGCATAAAGACTTTTAGGGTATAATCCAGTCCAGATGGCCCTAGCTGTCCAAACTCAGAGGACTGCAGGCATCCTGTGGAGCTTACCTCAGCACTCTTTCCACCATGCAAAATATTTACATGGCCAATTTGTGCTGTTGGTGACACACCTTGGAGTGCAGTGGAAGGAAGCTGTGATGCTGCCAGGATATATCTTATATCATGGCATTGCCTCTTTTGTCTCCTCTGCTTGTACCAGAGAGCGCAGAAAAGCAACCATCATGGGGTTTTTTTCCATGTAAGTTGGGAGGAACAGAGGAATCTCGGAGCACGTTTCCAAGGATGCAGCTGGGAGTCCAAAATAGTCCAAGGTCATCTAGACACTGTCTCGTATCCACAGGATTGCACTGTGGGTACAGTCAAGTGTGCAGCAAGCTAGACTCAATCATATGGTTATCCTACATGGACATAAACATATCTTTCAGGAGAAATATCTTACATACTAATGAGTTCATTCAGAGAACTCCTATTGGAGAAAATGAATTCAGTGTGGAAGAATTTGATCAATGTGTACATAAGAGTACAGCTTCAAAGTCAGAGTTTCATAGTGGTCTTTCTCTTCCTCATTCTACTTAAATTCTAATTAAATGATTTTTTTTTCCTTTACAACAAGAAAAGAGATGTGCAAAACTTCTGCTTTGATTAAAGGTATAGTCCTATGCATGTTTGGACAGAAAAAGGCCTACAACTCCTAGCATGCTGGCATTGTAGGTGGGCTGTTTTGTATCAAAGCATGCATAGGATTGTGTCTTAAAATTTCATCTGGATCCAATGAACACACTCCCCTTGGTCCCACCCCTTTCATTCAACTTCCCATTTTTTGTTGGTTTCTGAGTTTTTGTGCAGTTTTTCCCATTCCAAAATATTGAAATGCATCTCCTAAGACTTAGGAGTTGATGGCAAGAGATTCAAGCTAAAATGTGCTGATATTTTTGGTGCCCCTGGCCCTGGCAGTTTCTCTGACACTGAATTCAGCCCAGATCCCTGAAAGAGAGGAACAAGAATCACCACTGCAGACATTGATAGTCTTTGTAAAATATGCCTTAAAAATGCAAGTGAAAAGATGCAATAATCGCAAACATCTACCAACTGGTCTACATGATCCTGCTATTCTAGTCCAGCCTTCCCCAGCCTTGTGCCTTCCAGACAGATTTGGACTGCAACATCCAGAATTCCCAGTCAATGGCCCTGCCGGATGGCAATTCTGAGACCTGTGGTCCAGATGCCTCTGAAGGCCACCAGGCTGGGGAAGGCTGTGCTAGTCTGTTCCTCCAGTTACCAGTCTTACTGCTATTATTTTAGTGGACTTTCCTATACAGTGGTATGAAATGCTTTTCCTGTAGTCTAAATGCTTCCACAATTAAGAAACATCTCCTGTGACGTTCTGCACAAGCCCCATGGAAAGGGGAGCTGTTGAAGAGCATAGTGCTGCCTTGCATATTTCACAGTCATTTCGGTATCTTGCACAGAGCTGTGACCAAGGCCACTTCTTAAAGCTGGTTTTTCTATGAGTAAAATTAATGTAACTTCCCCATTTTAATTTTTAGCATGTATGTAGATGTCATAATGTACCTACTGAAACTCCATAAAATGTTTACCTTTTTTAGATTTCATTTTAAGTGCTTGGTTGCTTAGATATGTTTTAAACTGTCTTGAGCTACCTAGACAGGATGGGTTAAAATCCTAATAGATAAATATGGCTAGCATTACACAGCACTCCTCACAAGCAAAGCTTGAAATATACATGTGACCCTGATTTTGGAGGAGTCAGGGCCATTTGTTTGGAGATTGCAGCTTGCTATAAGAGCGGAAATAGGGAAGAAGCAAGACAAGTAGTAGGTGCTGCTAAATGAAATGGATCAATCAGTTTTAATTCTGTGGTTTGGTATCAGACTGTACTTTAATCAGGTTTCATTCTCTAGCCCTGCAGTGTAATTGCATCTCTTCCTTACAACAATGTGAAAAAAGGCTAACTTCTGGTCTAAATAAAGCTCATTTAAAATACACATCTTTTTTTTCTCTTGTATATCATAGACAAAAGACCCATCTGTTGGGTTCCAAACCACAGAAGAAAACATACATAGTATAACTTTTCCATTTTACAATTTGGAAAGCTTAGAGCAAGTAGCATCAGACTTCAGGAATGTGGGATTTACTTAATTTTTTTAGTAGAGCTGAAGATGAAATGCACAATAGTAGCTTGGGAGCAGAACCAGAACCTAGTACACTCCATTATATACTAGGAAACCCTGCATATAAAAGTACTGATCATCATCAAATTTAGTACAGATCAAGGATTCCAGCCACTTAATTGGGGGGGGGGGGGAGGGATTTGTTTTGTTAATGAGTGAGGTTTTTTAAAAATCCTGCCTGATTCATTGGCATTCATACAAAAACCTACTTAGTAGATCTACCTTCTGCCATACCTAGTTTAGGATGCATGCCAGTCAGGAAGCTAGACAAGAAATTTATTCTCTCTCTTTGGGCTTTTCAATATGAGCATTTATAGTGTTCTCATGATCCTTCACTCATGAAAATTGGCAGGGACTTTTTATGCCATTCTAAGCCTCCAGGACCTCTCCCCAAGTTTCCAGCCATTTTCATGGCTTTTTTAAGAGTGAGGAAATCTTGTAAAATTGCTACAGAAGCATAATGTATTGTTATTGTTATCTTTTTGGTTGTTATCTTTCCTGTGTGATCTTTCCTTGTTCAAACACAAATAGCTGGAAATAGTTTTAATTATCTCAGCCTCTCTCAGGATAGTAGAAAAGCAGAACTTGAGACACCTTTTAATTCCATGCATTAACAAAACCAGCAGGAGCTTTAGCCAAGACATATGAGAACCACTAACAAAGAATGACAGGATTCAGTAATTCATAATTTCTGTAATATGAGCTATTTTTACTTCTGAAATGTTCTGTGAGGTCTCCCTGAAGCACCAATGACTTTTTTTTCTTAAAAAACATTAAAATAAGATTCAAACAGTTTGAACTCCAGAACAAATAGAAAAGTGTCTTTCCATGGCCCAGATTCAATGAGGGCACTGTGGCCATGATAAACATTCCAGGATCTACCAGTTGCTTGAGGGCAGTAACTCAAGAAAGATAGGGAGGGAGCAAACCTAAGGTCCCTAGACAGTGTTTGATGGGGCCAAAGCATTGTATGGAATCTCCTTACAGTGTCAAAGACAAAGCTTTGACCTTGGAAGGGAGACTCAGAGTTCCAACCTCCCAGCCAGCTGTTGCAGCTGGTCTATCAAGGACTATGGCAGCTGTCTTCTGAGGACAGAGCTCATCCCCAGAAAAAGCATTTGGTAAACAAGGAGAGGATATGACTGGAGATGTTAGGATATGAGTGATTTTGAACTTCTGTCAGCCTCCCTTCCCTCTCCAAAATGCTTTTGCTGGATTGGGAGGTAAAAAGTCTGTCTAGAGAAAAGTACAAGGTGAGAGGATGGGAAGAAGATCACTGCTGCAGTTCTTCCTGCCCTGCATAGGATGATCATAATCTCTGAAAGGATGGCACCCTTAGTCAGGTATGGTGAAGGTAGGTCAGACACCAAGAGTTCAGTGGAACCCTTAAATACTTTTTCAGTGCTTTCCAGTGTTCCAGCTCCTCAACTCCAGCTGCTGGCTGGAGAGGCTCTAAACTGCAGGCAAAGCTCTGGCTGTACCCAGAATTCCCACATGTTTACAATATAAGCAGAATCCATCACTGTAGCAGATATTTGTTAAAGCCTGGAGACGAGCTCCATGCACCGTATTTCCCAACTCTGTGGAGTACTACATCATCATAATCACTAGTACTGCAATGGCAACAGTGAATCTGGTGCTTTACAGACTATGAAAGTGCAAGTCCAGGCCCCTAAGACCTTAAAATCTAAACTTCAACACAGGCAAAAGGGGTAAAGAAACAGAAGTAGAAGCAGGGGTAAACAGAGAAGCAACATGCATCGTTAGTTCTGAAGGAAGAAGTTCTAGCCTTTTGTGGCTGACTTTTGGGGATAAATTTTGTCCCAATGCTTATTTCTTCTGTATATTTATTTATGCACTGAACTGTTTATACAATGCTAACAAGTGTTTCATCATAGTATCCTTGCATGCTCAGGCAAATTTATGACTAGGTAACTGGCAGTTTCTGTATTGAAATATTTGCTTTTTTATGCACAATCAGCAAAACAAAAACAGCTCAAAAGAAATGACTTCTAAATTCAAAGCCAGAATGTCAGAAAGGAATGTCCAAAGTCACATGCATGCTGCAGCTATTATCCTAAAAATACATAGAGCTTTATTTCAGGCTAAGTTTCAGGAGAATGTAAGCAGCCACAGAAGTGGGAAGAAAACAGCTGCTTCACAATGCTTCCTGGTGACAGTTGAATTGAGGAAGGAAGAGGGAAACTGGACTCAGAACATTCTCCAGAATGGTCACAGAAATAAGCAGAACATATTCATTTAATGTCTGCAATTTCCTGGTGTGAACCAAAGTTTTTATACTGTATTTTTCATTCAGAATATTTGGGACTCTGTGGGGCAGGTGAAACCAGTTCCTGCCAGACACAGTGGAAGGACCTTCCTGACATGCTTGCCAGACACCTAAAGCTTCACCTGCCCTGCATCCTTTCCCCTACAGGAGAAGGCACAAGGCAGGCAGAGGAGCTTTGCTGCACACAGAACTTTTCTTTTCATGGGCTAACTCTGCTCCATGTACAAAAGATAAGCTTCCCAGCGCTAAAGGAGCAATGCCACATACACTTTGACATCCTTCAGCCTGCTGCCCAATTCTGGTTGCCTCCTTTGTATGGTTGCTTAGCAGAAGCTCTATGTGCTCAACCCATAAATATTTACAGCCTGATTTATGTACAACTTGGGACACACAGAAATGTCTTACCTGTCTGCACTTTCTACATTCACACGGTCATGTTTGAATGCATTTAACACGTGTCCTAGCCCACTGGTGTGCCAACAGTGCATCCAATCAGGCCATTGTGTACTAATATGCATATTTGAATAGGATATCACCCATGTTAACTGCATTAGTCACTGCCCTTTAGCCTTAAGTTGTTGGGAGGATAAAATGGAGAGGAGCCGAACCTTGTAAACTGCCTTGGGTTCCTTTCAAGAGGAACAAAAGCAGGATATAAATGCTATATGATAATAATTTAAATGTGATAGAGCACATATAGTAAAGGCTTTTCTCATGATGCCATCTTGTCTGAATTGGACCTACTTTTTGGCCGAATAAAGGATTTTATTCTATTTAATGCAGGAACAGTATGAGTGCAATCCTATGCATGTTTAGACAGAAAATCATGGCTGGCTGGGAAATGCTGGGGGTTGTAAGACACTTTTTATCTAAACATGTGTAGGAGTGCAGCAAAAGAAACTAATCTGACAATCAAAACCAGGTGTCTAAAGTTTTGAAATGTAGCATCTTTGCTTTCTGCAAGTCAGGGCCAGCCCATCCATAAAGGATGAGGCACCTACACAAGGTGACAAAGGTGGAGTTGTGTAGCTCTTCCTGCCCCACCCCAGGCTGAGCCCAACCTATGGAGCCCACTCTCAACTCCAGTGCAAGCTCCAGGCAGCCCTGCCAGCCCCTTTCCTGCCACGGGATCTGCAGCACTGGCACAACGGCCAGAAGGGGTGCTTGGAGCAAACTGCTCACACCCTGCCACTGCAGGACTTTGAGATTCTTGTGAATTCGCAGCACATGGCCAGCACCTCAGGTCTTAGTGTTGTGCTGGGATATCAGGAGAGCCTTGAGCCAGCAAGATCTCAACCCTCCTTCCTGTTGCTGCTGTGCAACCCTCTGTCCTACCACTGCCAGCTGCCTGCCTTTCCTTTGCTGCTCCATGGGAGCTCACTGGCCTGCAGTTGGTGCAGGGGCGGGGGGGGGGGAGGCATCCGGAGGCAAAAGGGAGATAGGGAAGGTTGCGGCACAGCAGTGATAGGCAGGGATGGAGAGTTGCGCTGCACAAGCGGGAGGAAGCATTGCACGATGGTGGCGGCATGAGTTCTTCTGCTTCAGGCAGCAAGAGACCTTCAGTGGGTGTTCTACAAGTACAGTAGATGTAAATACTATTGTGGCGGGTTGTTACTGAATTCAATTATCAGTTTTGCATGCTGGATAGTAAACAAAAGAATGAACTTGAAAACAAGGTTTTATTTTATGCAAATTGTTCAGAAAATTCAAAGCAAACAAAAATTGGAATTAAACCTTTGTTTCCAGATAGAAAACATTCCAGTTATATGCAACTAATAACTATATAACTATATATTTTGCAATTGAAATACTTATATAAATACTTCTCCCTCTATTGTACCAAAAAAAAAAAAAAAAACCACTCCACCAAGCCAAGTATCGAATAGCAGACAATTTCCCATGATGGTGCAAGAAGATTCCATTAGCTCTCTGTGATCTTAGGAAGTTGTGAAGCATACATGGCCAGAGTATGATGAAGGAACTGGTATTGTTCAATGGTCTGAATCATCCCACCTCTGTAATTAAAAAAATAGCCATAATGTCATTGAGAACAGTAATTATTTCATGCTGTTTCAAAGTTATTTCATTTTGTGTTGGTTGTAGTCCTGTGTTAGCTACTGTTCATGTATGTCACTGTTGCTAACACAAAGACATTGTACTAGCATAAACTATCTCTAACAGAACACCAATAACACTTGCTAGTGCAGTGAGTTTTCCAGGGAAATCCATTGTTACAGCAAGTTATTGGTATTGCACTAGAGGTATTTCTGTTGCATTGGTCATGTTGCCTAGTGAAGGCATTTCAGTTTTCTAAGTCAATGCCAGGGAATTCCAATTGACAAAATGAGACCTGCATGTGGCTTACAAACAATCCAGGTGCAATGTCTGTTGTTCAAAAAAGGAAAACAAATCTAGAACACCATGTTGCCAATGATACAGCACAAGTAGGGTGGTTATGACTTTTTTAAAAGGGTGAAGTCTTTAGCTCTACTCCCTGTGCCCAGTGTTTGTGGACTAAGTTACAGAAAGGGGGGAAGGATGTCAATATGAGGCTTGCAGGAGCTGTTTAGAAGCAACCACAGTTGGGCAAAGGATGCACGCGGGGGAAATGAAGTAGCATGAACAAGTGCTGTGGGAGGATTGCTGGGGAATAAAAGAAGCATTACAGGATTTTTCTTTGTACCCAGTCAGACTACTAGCCTATCAGGTGCAGTATTGTCTGCATTGACTGATGTTGGCTCCTCAGGCTTTCAGACTGGAGTCCTCACCAGCTCCACTGGAGATGAAAGAATTAAATCTGAAGCCTTTTGCACATGCTTCGACTGAGCTACAGCCCTTCTCCATGCCATGGCAGCATTAAAATTTACATATATGGAGAGAGTGCCTTCCAGATCTCTGTCATATGAAGATTTGGGGATATTCCTGCTCACATCATAAAGCATACTTGCTATGTTTTTGGTCTTAGTTCAACAGATTTTAAAAAGCTTTAAAAATCTAGCAGTGTGGAATGCAAGGATATTAAGGCTTGATGGGAAAGATTGCATCAGATCATAAGTACATTTTACAGTGAGCACTACCCTTATGCAAGTTCCTTGCATTTCAATGGGGCTTTGAGAGGCACTGATATTGCATAGTGCCAGTACTACCTTTAGCAATGCTCCACCTAGACCTAAGGCTATGCCCATTGCAGTGATCCAGAAGCAAAGCGCCTCTTGAATCCCCTCATGATGCACTGAAAATAACTTAATCAGCATTTGTGTGTGGGGACAAATTCAACCTAAGACAAATATGGGTTTTTAAAGACTGCTGTCCTTATGCCCACTCATCTGCATTCAAGTGGAACTTGCTTCTGAGTAGACATGTCTAGGATTGTAGCCGACTTATGTAAGAGTAGACAGAGTGGGGTGGGTTATCCCACAGAAATGTAATTCCTCACATAACAATCACATTTTACTCTTGGTATTGACTGAAAATTGACAGTGGTAGAATGGGCCCTAACAGCTTGGGGCCAGAGTAATTGAAGGATCATCTCCTCCTGTATGCCTCTACCTGGAACCTAAGTTCTGTTTCAGAAGCTGTTCTCCAGGTGTCCTCACCAACTGGGGACATTACTAAGAAGAGACCCTTTTAGCAGTGGTGCCCTGCTAAATGCATGCAATATCTCCTCAGAAAGGCTTGCCTAGTGCCTGTGTCATGGCTTTGTTTTTAAAAATGTTGTCAGTGTATTTTAGCTCTTTTTGCTGCTGCTTGCTTTTATTTGCTTTTGCTTTTATGAACGTGGACACACTCTGGACCTGGTTTTCTCGATGGGGCAGGAAGAGGGTGGTCTGAGGGTGAGGAATTTATGTCTGACACCCCTGTCATGGTCAGATCACTTCCTCGTGAGGTTTGTGCTCGAGAGCGGCCTTTTCCTCTGTAAGGATGCAGACCCGATTGTGTGGGTCCGCCCCCAGAGCCGGATGGATCCGGATGGATTCCTGAAGGCCCTGGGGAGTTTCCGGCTGACAAGGCTGGTGCTCCTGTCAAGGCTCTGGTTGAACAATGGAATGGGGATATGACCAGGGCTATTGACACGATCGCTCCTAAGTGTCCTCTCCCGCCGGGCAGAGCCCACTCTTTCCCTTGGTATACACCTGAATTGTGGGCGATGAAGCGGGCTGGGAGACAACTGGAGCGTAGGTGGAGGAAATCACGGGATGAATCTGACCGAACACACTTAAGAGCCCTTTATCGGGCCTATGCTGTGGCGGTGAGGGCGGCAAAAAAGAAATTCTTCTCCGTTTCCATTGCCTCCTCACAATGCTGTCCGGCGGAGCTTTTTTGAGTGGTGCAAGGGCTGGTTCATCCTGGCCCTAAGAAAGATCCACTGTGACAACTTTGCCAAGCATTTCAGGGAGAAAATCGCTCAGATTCATCACGTGCTGGACTCCACTAGTGATTCAGAGGCTTCTGGGGAGATACCAAGGTTGCCATCTGGTCCAAAATTGATGGATGAATTTCAGTTACTGCAGCCTGATGATGTGGACAAGATGCTTGGACGAGTATGTCCCACCACCTGCCTATTGGACCCTTGCCCATCTTGGCTGATTAACAACGGCAAGCACAGGATAGGGATCTGGACCTTGGAAGTGGTTAACGCCTCTCTGAGGGAGGGCTGGGTACCTGCACCTTTAAAGGAGGTGGTAGTCTGACCGGTCCTGAAGAAGACGTCACTGGATCCAGAGATGGCCACTAATTATAGACCAGTGGCCAACATCCCGTTTCTGGGCAAGGTGTTGGAGTGGGTGGTGGCAGGACAACTCCAAGCACTCTTGGATGAAACTGATTATCTGGACCCATTTCAGTCCGGCTTCAGACCCGGGTACAGTACTGAATCTGCCTTGGTCACCCTGTACGATGACCTGTGCAGGGAGAAAGACAGGGGGAGTGCATCCCTGTTGATTCTCCTGGACCTCTCAGCAGCTTTCGATACCATCAACCATGGTATCCTTCTGGATAGGCTAGCGGGATTGGGGGTCAGAGGCACTGCTTTGCAGTGGTTCTGCTCCTATCTCAATGGCCGATTCCAGAAGGTGGTGCTGGGGGACTATGGCTCTGCGCCATGGCAGTTATGCCATGGAGTACCGCAGGGATCCATTTTGTCCCCTCTGCTATTCAACATCTACATGAAACTGCTGGGAGAGGTCATCAGGAGGTGTGGGCTGTGGAATCATCAGTACGCTGATGATACCCAGCTCTACCTCTCGTTCTCTACCAATCCAGGTGAGGCAGCAGCTGTACTGAACCGGTGCCTGGCTGAGGTAATGGGTGGATTGGGCTTTGGGGAAGGGGACCTGAACTTAGTCCTGAATGGGGTTGCACTCCCTCTTAGGGACAAGGTCCGCAGCTTGGGAGTGCTCCTCAACCCAGAGCTTTCACTGGAAGCTCAGGTGACAGCAGTGGCAAGAAGCGCTTTCTTTCAGCTTTGGCTGATCCATCAGCTGCGTCCCTACCTGGAGAACGACTGCCTGGTGACAGTGACACACGCGTTGGTGACTTCCCGACTTGACTTCTGTAACGCGCTCTACGTGGGGCTGCCCTTAAAGACGGTCTGGAACAATTGGTTCAAAATAGAGCTGCCAGGCTGCTGATGGGGACTGGGTGTTATGTTCACATGACTCCAGTATTCCGTCACCTTGACTGGCTCCCCATTGAAGTCCGGGCCCAATTCAAGGTGTTGGTTATGACCTATAAAGCCCTTCATGGCTTGGGTTCTGGTTACCTGAAAGACCGCCTACGTCCATATATGCCTGCACGCCCCTTGAGATCAGCGGGAGAGGCCCTTCTCCAGGAACCCTCCGTGAAAGAAATTAGGAGGGTAGGTACTCGGAGGAGGGCTTTCTCTGCGGTGGTGCCCAATCTATGGAATGCGCTCCCCAGAGAGGTCCGCCTGGCCGTCGTTATTTGTTTTTCGGTGCCAGGTGAAGACCTTTTTATTCAAACATTATTTTAACTGCTAATATTTATTTATTTATTTATTTATTGGCCAGGTCGACTCAAATTGTATTGTTTTTATATTGTGTTTATTTATTATTGTGAGCCATCCCGAGGCTTCGGTGAATGGGGCGGCATAGAAGCTTCCTAAATAAATAGATAAATAAATATTTGGTTTTTAATTTGGTTCTATTCTATTTTAAATTTTGAAAGCATTTATTTTGGGTTTCATTATGGTTTTCAGATTTGTTTTGTGAACGACCAGAGAGCTTCAGGTATTGGACAGTGGAGAAATGTAATAAATGAAATTTTAAAACGCAACTCTGTTATCCTCATTGGTAATGCTGGCTGGCGTACAGGGGAGTTTTAACCCAACATATCTGAAATGCTGGCAAAGGCTGCTCTGAAGTGCTTCTATGTGCTTCTCACAGAAATGGTCAGAACCCACATTATGTAGTGAAGTGTCTTGATAACATAGCAAAAGCATCTCATTCATGCTCAGAGTGACCAGTGTGGCTGTTCAGTCTGCCATCCAGATGGGCCAGATGTGTATCACAGTGTCTCCCTTGCTGTCCCTTCTTATGATGCTCTCTCTTTTTTAAACTGCTATTAGACTTGGACAGCCCTTCAAATAGAGGATGTTTTTAAACAGAGGACTGCCACCTGTACAGTAGGGTGCAAGACCAACTAGCATGAACTGAGGTACACTCTAAAACACACCCAACACTCCGCTGTAAAAGTGCATTGCAAAAGATCAGCAGGCTTGAGGTAATCTTTCAGGCAAGCTGGTGAAGACTTTCTTGTTTAGAAAGCTATTTTCTTTACTATATGATTTCTCATGTTATTTTATTAGTGTAATTTTCTCCTGAGTTTGCAAGTTGTTGATGTTGGGTTGCAGGGTGTTTGCATGCTGTACTGTATTATTATTGTAATTAGGACACATTGTTAACTGCTCTAAAATTCTTCTGGTAGGCTAACTTGAGCAAGACAGGAATAAAAGAATACATGGGCAAAATAGTGATGTTCTCATGGAGCAACTTTTATAAGCTTTCATGAAACTCCACAGTTCCCCAGATCGCATTTAAAAACCACAAAGCTGATCTAAAGACAGTTCAATTGTGCAGAAAAACAGAAACCTCCTTTTATGTTGTATCCCAGAACACACATTGTGACAGTTCAGTTCTATCACAGGCTTTATTAGGTAGAACCTCCCACTTTCCCAGCTATTAATTTCTTTGCCCTAACTTTCTCTTGATCATTGTGTAAGATTCCACTTTAAGTCATCTCAGCAACAAGGAAAAAAACACTATGCCTCTTCTATACTTGAGATTATCATCAACTGAACTAGTGCTCTTCAAATTTGTCAGACTACAACAGCCATTATCCCTGGGTAGGTAAGATGGTAGCTGTAGTCTAATACATCTGGAAAACACCAGGTTGGAGGAGGAAGCTTTTAGCTACAAGAAGCTCTGCACATGCATTTTAGATGACTCAGATCATTGGTCATTTGATACACACCTGTCTATGCGTAGTTGGCAGACTATCCCCAAAATGTCCACCTCTCCTTTCTCCTTCAGTTGCTGGCATCCAATCTGAGTAGCAATAAAGCAGCCAGTCCGGCCAATTCCTGCACTGAATGGACATCAAGGTGAATGTCAAAGCAGGGCAGACTCTTCACATACACCCATGCACGTATACAAACAGGCTGGGTTCACACAACACAGCAAGGAGCCTGGCATGGTTACTACAGTTTCCTTTTCTAAAAAACCATGATCTATTCAACAGATGATTTCTTTGTTATTCTGGTTTCCACATTCCCTGCTCAGTCCTTGCACTGTTAGCACATATCCCATCAACCACTGCACCTAAAATTCAATCTCAAGGCGCATTGCTTTCTCCCTATGTCACCTGCCTCTTCCCCACTGGTCTGCAGATAGAGGCTGGACGACTGGAGTGACTCCCTGCAGTTGCTGTTATGCCCAGAGGACACTGTGGCAGCTGCACACAATGCTAGGTTTAGTCAACGTGACAAGCCATGGTGGTAGGGACAAACCATAGAACAAACCATTGTTTCTAAAGGACAGACTTACAATGGCAAAAAGCCACAATTGGGTTTAGACAACACAACTGTTCAACAATTGGAAATGACTGCTATGTCTAAACCTAGCCACGCTGAGTAGATATAATACAGTTTTTCACATACAGGTTTCTAGAGGTGCAAATCCATGTATTTTGCTTGCAGATATGTTGGAGGAGAAAGGGAGTTGCAGATGACATAAATGTCAGTCTGTGGAGACTTATGTTAAAACCATGTATGGCTGCTGCACTTCTTAGACCAGGAGTGCCCTCCTGGTACCATGGTACCCTCATGAAGTTTTGGGCTATACTTCCCCCCACCCCGCCAAGCCCTAGCAAGTATGGTCAGAGATGCTGGGAGCTTGCTGACCTCATCCTAATACCACTTCAGGCTTATGAGGAAAGTTTCTCACCTACAGTGCACAATGATGGGTCCTGTGCTCTCTGCAGTTTGTATAATTTTTTCTACCTCCAAAACCAAGTGCAAGAGTGCCTTGGCCGATTCTGGGGTCTTCTGGTCTGGCCAGGATGAGAAGACAATGTGCTTCACAGTGCGACATTCATCTTTGAGCTGAAAGTCATGACAAAATAGAAAACATAGCCATCGTGTTTATTTTCAGTATAGTGAAAATGAAATAGCAAGAAAAGGAAATACAGTGGTGCCTTGGCTCATGAACGCCTTGGTTCACAACCAAATCGGGTCACGAACAAAAAATTTCATGACCCAGGGTTGCCTTGGGTCACGAACTCTGCATTGGGTGGCAACCAAGATCGCGGCCATCTCCCCCCTGCCCTCCCCCCCCCCGAGTGGGGAGATGGCCACGATCGCAGTTGCATTTGTGCAGGGAAGACATAGCGGAGGTGGCAACAGAAGAACTTGCTGAACTCCAGAGTGAGCAGCAGAAGGCACTTGCCGAGGAGGATTCCACTGAGAAAGAGGAAGACAGGGAGGAGGTTAGCAGTGATGTGATCCAATCCATTATGAAAAAATGAAATGAGTGCCAGGATTTCTTTGAGAAGCACCACCCCAACATAACTGTAACAAACAGAGTGTTGAATCAGATGAACAATAATGTGGTCTCTCATTTCCGGAAGGTTATGCAGTGCAGGAAAAAACAAGTGACTATAGACAGATTTTTCATCAAAACTGACCCTGCAGCTAAGAGACAAAGAAGAGAGGAAACCCCTGAAAGGGATCTCCCCAATGTCCTTACGGAGGGGGACTCTCCTTCAAAACAATAACCTTCCCCCCACCTAGGTTAGTGTTCTCCACCTTGTTACCTTGTTGTTCTTTGTCACTTTGTTTCACATTTTTCTGATTAAAAAAATAATTACAGAACAGATTAACCTTATTTACATTGAACCTTATGGGGAAATTTGACTTGAGTCACAACTGATTTGGGTCACAACTAGAGTCATGGAACGGATTAAGTTCATGAGCCAAGGTACCACTGTAGTATGGCATTTTCTAGAAGAAGGCTTAGCTGATTGGGTGAAACACTACACAGGAGTGCTCCGCACAGCAACATGTTGTTGCAGGTCCTGCCCCTCAAAGACAGCAGCAGAAACCTAAAGTAATTAATGATATGGAAAAGATAGAAGTAGTCATAACTAAAGTTAGTCCCACTGAAATCTTGACAAAATATAAACCATAATCATTCTCTTTATTTCCAACGGTCCAGTGTAAGTTTGTCATGACTACTCTAAATTGCACGGGCCTACTCCTGTATCTGTATCCAAGGCAAACTTATAGTACAAATAGCAAAATTGAAAGCAGCTATTTTAATTAAATAAATGCCTCCTTTGGCAAAAGAGAAAGAAAAAGAGCGGACAGAGTCCAGGCTTTTGAGGCAAATTTCTCTTCCCAGATATGTAATTAACAGTGGACACATTCACACATCACAGTAACTCACTCTGGCAATAATGCACGGTAGGCTGGTTGTTGTGCAAACAACATGTGGTACATCCAACTGAAAATCAGGCTCACCTTCATTGGCCTCCCACAGGTATCCCTGGGGCCTCCACAGCAGGACTGTCTTGGTGTTCCCTCCACTGCGATTGAGAACCCCTTTTCATTCTCTGAGGCCTTTCCCCTTGCATCCCCCCCCCCCCCGAGACCATGATGCCTAGCTTGAAAGCCAATGACAGCCCCTTCAAAGTGCTCAAGTGTCAGTTGCTGGCAACTATTTTTTAATTGCACTATAATGGGTGGAAATATTGTCATGCTTTAATGTTTTAAAGCCACACTTGTGCAACTGTGGTGTGCAATTCCACAAGTACGAAAATGGGAAGCCTTGAATGAGTAAGTCTTGGGGTGTTCCTGCTGTCAAAAAGCAGCAGGATCAGGAGCTCCCTTTCCCCCAGCACTGTGGTCCAAGCAGATCTCCTCCCTTTCCAACCAGAGAGATTGAGCTCCACCTGCAGGGTGGTTCCTGTTTGTGCACCAGATAGAAGGAACATGGGACAATACTCATACGGATTGTGATTTTCATTTGACATGGGATATGAGACACCTACATCTGAGTCCACCTGTTCAATGGAGTGGCCCACAGAACCAGCTGTTACCTTGTTCACTGGCCTCTTGGCTTATCACTAGTTATGCTGACCTTGACATTTTGGCTTAGAATGCTGAACTGCCTTTTCTTCCAGTTCTCATTCAGATTCTGAGACAGCAGCCGTGGAAGATTATATTTTGCACTGACTGTCCTCAGGGCCCTGCACATTTTCCCCAGGGTTCTCATTGCTTGATAAAGTGAAAAAGTGCATTCCATCCCATTATTGGAACATATACAGTCATATCATTGTTCCCTCCCCAGCCCTCCTGGCCTACCTGCAGGGTAAAGCTACGGGTGGTGTATTCTTCAGACTCACAAATGCTTTGCACTTGGATGGTGAAAGGCCCATAGGTTGTCTCTGTTTCAGGCCAGTAACATATACATTTCTGAAATCAAAACAGCAAGGATCTTCATGAGAGGTAACAGCCTAAGTGGATGATGTACAACCCTGGAAGATTAGAAAAATGCAGAACCATGCACCCACCAGCTCCAGTCCCAATAAACCCAAGCATCTGTCAGCCACAGTACAGCAGAAGCAAAGAATAGCTATGGAGCTTACTCTAGCTTGCTATGGAGTAAATAGCTTACTCTAGCTTGCTATGGAATAAATATCAAGCTAGATAAGGCAGTGGTTCCCATAAAATTCTGGTTTTATAGGCACCTCCTAAAGTTTCTTTGTGACACAGAAAAGGCTCAAGCGAATATTAGACTTTGAAGAAATACTTATGACATAACCATTTATACTCCTTCCATTAATATCTGCAGATTTCCTGCAGATATTCAGCAATGAAGAGGTTTAAAGCTGCCAGTTTCTTGCCACTGAATATGGTTGTTCTTATTTCTAATTAAATGTGCACAGAAGTTCCAGGCTCGGTATCTTAAAGGACAGGTTGTAAACATTTCACCCAGCTCCTGCTATGCTGCAGTGCAATCCAGATCAAATTGTTGTTATTGTTGTTGTTTTTATACTGTCCAATAGTTCAAGCTCTATGGGCAGTTTACAATAGCAGACAAACATACAACATACATACAGATAACAATAAAAACATCATAACATTACAATGCAACATTTTAAAGACAAAATTACAACCGATTTTAAAAAGCTACAACAGCTTACACAAATCAAATCACAAGATCTGTTAAGCAGCTGACATAATGCTTCAGTATAGTATTGAAACTAATTAAATCTCCTGTCACAAGGGACAGTATTAACCTGGCACTGAAAAGATATTGGAACTGGCACCAGGCAGGCCGTTTTCCATAACTGGGAGGCCGCCTCCCAGTAAGCTCTTTCTTTCTTGCCATCAACCAAGCCTCCCTTGGAAGTGGCAATTGGTGGCAGTCCCAGATCGTGACTGTAGTGTCTGAGTAGATTGCAGCTGGCACAGCACCCTGATCCCAAGCCATGCAGGGCTTTATAGGTTAAAACCTGCTTGGGATGGCTCTTCCACCTCTGAAAGTGTCACTGCAGACCTAACAGCAGACAGCTGGTCCTTGGTTAGGAATGCTAATGCCCTTGCCCCCAAATTTTTACATAGGATCTTTTATACACCAGGCTATCAATTGCTATTCTGTATCTGCTTTTGGTTTCATGATATCATTGAGATCTGAACTCTGCACAAAGAGTTCTTCCTTTCCTGTTTTTCTGCTGCACAACCTCTAGATGGAGCCGTACAATACCAGAATAGCACAAATACCCTTGGAAAAAGAGCCCTATTTTCTTCATTATAATTTAATCTCCATTTGCACTGTTCTTAAAACACCCAAGAAAATGCTGTGAAAAAATGAAGCAAATCTGAGTGATCACCATCTTGTCTAAAATGTCAGTCGAATAAGGAATGTGAAAGCTACTGTGAATGAGGAAACACAAGCATACAACAAATGCCTCATGTTGAAAAGCCTTAAATTTATGACCCAAATTTTACTTTGATGGGTGCTGTGTGGCCATCCTTTGCTTGCTAATATTCGGGATGAATGGAAATGGTCTTCTGAATGGGTGATTTATCAGTAGGGGTGGTGTCTGAGACAAGTTGGTCTGCAGCAGTTGTAAAGGAAAAGAGTAGCAGTTTTACAGTATGAACACAGACAGAGGCAGAGATACAGGATAGTTTGTAGCTGAAGCTTTAACTTGAACCATCAACTTAGACCAGCTTTGAGAGTCCAAGAAGTTTCTGTCTTTGAAAACCGTACCCAGGATCAGTAGTTTTGAGGCCTGCTCTAAAAATGCAAATTCCATGCATGTATATTGGTAAAGAAAGCAAATGTTAGCAAAATGCTGCTAGACACTGCAGCATTTGCCCTGGGAATTCTTGCCAGGGTGAGTGGAAACACTTAACAATATTTTAACCCCCACAAGATGCTTCCACTCTCAGTGGATGAAGAAATGCCAGCAGGCCACACCAAAATACCTCTTTCTCTTCCTTGAGCTTGGTGAGCATCACTATGAGAGGAGCCTCCTCCTGCCACACCATTGCCCAGAAGTCATTGACAGTATTTAACATGGGCCCCTGTGTCGCAATGTAGGTCTTCTCCCGTCCAGCATAACCCTAGAATGTGCCACAGAGATAACAGTCACAAACAAGGCCTGTCTCAACAGCTTGCCTTCAGAATCCTCATGTCCAGATTACTGTCTGGCTTACCCGGATGTAGTTTGCATTTATGTAGCGTTCATCTTCTTGGCTTTTAGCTCTCTTGAGGTGGACACGACTCTGAGGGTCTAGAGGGAGAGTTTGGTTAGATGTGGCTCCCAAGTAAACAGAGGCAGTTGGATCTCTGATCAGATGCAAAGCAGATCAGATAACAGGGGCTCTCATACAGAGACAGCCTTAAAACTCATCGCTTGCTAATTTATTGTCCCCATGTGCTTTCCCAGACATGTATTTACAATAAATTTGCCTTTTGAACATTCGTATTGGAAAAACAGATGTCTGTCTCCACAGAAGTAAAAATTCAAGTAGTCATTTTATTTCTCCTCTGACAAAAGATATCTTCCTGGTCCTGATAATGGTGTAACAAGTCCCACTGGATAATTCTGGACTTTAGTGGTTTTTCCCTATCCACCAGGGCTGTGGCTAGACACTTAAAAGATTTGAGTCCATTGGGCCCATCCACATAAAATCTGCACAGGACAATTTATAGCTGCATGAGTTCATTTTTAGCTGTATATGCACATTTATTAATACTTATGAGGGTGTATTGACATTTCACAGAAGGAAAGGCCAGCTAATTAATTCCTTATCCAAATAAGCACAAAGAGAATAATATCTTCAGTTAATTTGCACCCTGTCCCACATCATTCCAAATCAACAGAAAGCGCTCTCTGCCCCCAGGCTATATCACCAAGTAGGGGAAGCTTTTTGGTGGAGGAACTTGCAGCATGTGGTGTGGGGAGAGTTAACCCTTTCTTCCCCAGCTGCAGTCCCCCTTGCAAACTGCCTCTCCACAGCAATAAAGTTGAAGGTTGAAGTTAGGCTGGTACCAGCTGATGTTCAGGATTTTGATCTGGCACTCCATGAAATAAATGTGGGGCCAGTCCTAGTACTGTGCCCGCTTCCACACATTCACCACCATCTTAGCAACCAGGGCAGCACAGCAAGACATTCCTCTTATCTCTGGTCTTTCTTCTTCATCATAGCTGCCCTGTATCCCTATAACAATCCTTGAGGATTCTGCGTTGCTTGGACCACTAAGCATCGACTGAAATGACAACATCCTGAAAGTAAAGTCATGATGTGTGTGTGTGTGTGTGTGTGTGTGTGTGTGTGTGGCTGGGGGCTCCTTACAGCATTGTCACAAACAGCAATGATACAGGGCTCATTCCTCTATGACATCCTGGTGTATGAAAGGGATGGGTTCATTATTTTAAAATCCCACCCTTCCCCGAAACAGCTCAAGGCACTTCAGATGGGATTATTCTATCTTCCCACCACCAGAAGCAATTCTATGTGAAGGAACAGACCTATGCCCAACCAGAGATGTCAGGGTTTAACCATTTTTTTTCACTTAGATCACCCTAGTCTAGCACCCATATTAGTCTTCCCCAAGCTGGTGCAAGCCAAATGTGTTTGACTGCAATTCTCTTCTTTCACATCCAAAAGGACATTCCCTTATTTTGGAAAGCTGGCAGCAAACAGTCCTCTATTTGAAAGCTTGTTCTATTTAAAGACTGAACTGAGAGCTACTGTGGTGTTGTGGTTAGAGTGTGAGCCTGGGGCTCAGGCAATCTGCGTTCTAGTCCCCGCTCAGCCATGGAGCCAACTGGTGACTTTGGGCCAGTCACAGACTCTCAGCCCAACCTATCCCACAGGTTTGTTGTTGTGAGGATGAGACTGAGAGCAGCAGGAGGTGAAAGGTGCAAGCCACTTGGAGTTCATAAGGAAAAAATGGAATATAAATCTAATAAATCAATAAGACAAGAACTATAAGGAAGGCAACCAGGAATCTTGCAGTTGCCCATCCACATTTAGTACCTGGACAGCAAACTGGGTCAACACACAGGTCATCTAGTCAGTTTTGTCCACTATGGTGCTATGTATTATATTTCTCTTTACATTACAGAAATTATTTCCCAGTTTGCCCCTATATCTCAATATTTGCATATACAGTGGTACCTTGGCTCACAAATGCCTTTGTTCATGACCAAATTGGGTCATGAACAAACATTTCATGAAAATTTTGATGTGGTTTACGAACTCCACATTGGGTGGTGACCAAAATCGCAGCCATCTCCCCCCGCCCCCCCCGCCCCCCGAGTGGGGAGATGACCATGATCACAGTTGCGTTCATGCAGGGAAGACGTGTGTGATCACGGGTGCACTCCTGCAGGAAAGACAGAAGCAATCTCAGCCATCTCCCCCCCACCAACCAGCACGATCGTGGCCAATTCCCCACGAGTGGGTGGGGGGGAGATGGCTGAGATGGCGCCCGTCTTTCCTGCAGGAGCGCATCCATGATTGCACCCAGTTTTCCTGCACAAGTGCAACCGTAATATCGGCCATCTCCGCCCCCTGCCAGCACGATTGCACCTGTCTCCAACACCCCCCCAGTGCACCCCGTTCGCGCCCTTCTTTCTCTTCCCCAGTGCGCCCATGATCACACCCATCTTCCCCTCACCCCCAGCATGCCGGGATGACGGGCACCTGCAGGGATGACAGGCACGATCTCAGTCATGCTGGGGAGGTGGAGAGATGGCCACACTTGTGCTCAGGGTGGGGAGGGGGAGATGGCCACGATCTTTGTGTTCTTTGTCACTTTGCTTCACATTTTTCTGATTTAAAAAAATGGTTACAGAACGAATTAACCTTATTTACATTGCACCTTATGGGGAAATTTGACTTGGCTCATGACCAATTTGGGTCACGACCAGAGTCCTGGAACGCATTAAGTTCGTGAGCCAAGGTACAACTGTATAAATGTTATGTGAACGGATGCTCTTTTTTGCCCTCTTTTTGGCAATGTGGAAGAGGCTACCCTGGCCACACAGTGCTAGATCCAGTGGCTTAGTATCTCACACTAAGCATGCTGGGGGTCACCCAGCCCCAGTGAGCACACACTTTTTGCCATTCCTGCCTCAGTATATTTGCAGAAGGGACTGAGCTGTTCCTTTCTGAAGCAAAGATAAGCACCTTTGTTTATAACCTGTTTATAAAAAACACTGGCTCTATAGCTGTTCTGTATCTGCTTTATATACACTGATACTGATCTCATGGCTGGACTCGTCTTGCCATCCTTCTCTCTGCGCATGTGAGAGGGGCCTGCTCCACATAAACTTCGTAAGACTTGACCAGAGAAGATTCTGAAAAGAGGGCCTGCTAGTGTTACAAAGGGTATGCCTTTCTTGATGGAGGAATGCATATTGTGAGGAAAGCACTGCCCAAACCAGTGTGCTGTAGCCATTAGAACTGGAACAGAAGAGATCTGGGTTCCACTCCATACCTATACTCCCTGGGTGACTTTATACCAGTCGTTGACTCTCAGCCCAAAGATCAGGATAAAATGGAGAAGAGGAGGATTATGTATGCCACCTTAGGCTCCTTAGAGGAAAGGACAGGATATAAACTAACCAACCAACCAACCCACCTCCAAATGGATATATCAGGCAGTCTTCTTTTCCCATTTTCACATCCCTACTATCTGCTGTAAAACCCAAGGTAAACATACTTGGTAAGATGGATTTGTATCTGTCCTTTGCGGCTCGTCCAGGGATGTCCAACTCGTCTGGACTGATAAAGTTTGAGGGAACTTTCTGTTAAAGAGGAAAGGAAGAAACCATTTTCCTTTCTGAGATACAGAGTATCGAAAGAATGGGGAAGGGAGATTATTAAGGTCTTTTCCTTTCTCATGTAGATCTACTTGCTCTGAAGAGTCCCTTTTCTGATTTGACACCAGCAGCCAAAGGTGGCTTTGATGGAGATTTCCCATTCCCAACTGCTTAATAAGGCCCAACTCTGAATAAGGGGAATGGTGGGGAGATTTAAATCCCAGACTGTTAAGGCGCTAACCCAAATCACCCGCTGTGTCGCAGATCCTGATCTGATTCAGCTTCTACACACTTTTCCTAGGCAGGGAGCAGCACTAACTGAAGGATCTTAACTTGGAACCACGGCTTGGGTCCTGGTTACCTGAAGGGGCGCTTACGTCCATATATGCCTGCCCGCCCCCTGAGATCAGCGGGAGAGGCCCTTCTCCGGGAGCCCTCCGTGAAGGAAATTAGGAGGGTGAGTACTCGGAGGAGGGCTTTCTCTGCGGTGGCGCCCAATCTATGGAATGCACTCCTCAGAGAGGTCCGCCTGGCGCCGTCGTTATTTGTTTTTCGGAGCCAGGCAAAGACCTTTTTATTCAAACGTCATTTTAACTGTTAGTAGCATTTATTTATTTTATTCTTTGGCCAGGGTGACTTATTTTATATTGTTAACTTGTTTTATATTGTTAATGTATAGTATTTTAATTGATTTATTTGTGAGCCGCCCCAAGGCTTTGGCGAATGGGGCGGCATAGAAATTTTCTAAATAAATAAATAAATAATCAGGATGGGGCAGTTTGGTCCTCTCACCGCAAACTCCTCTTGAAGATCTTCTAGACTCCAGTTCCTCTGGAGCATCTTCTGAGTAAGAACATGGCTGGTTGTGTTCAGGAGCTGCACTGTGACATCTCTGGGAGTGGAGAGCGATTGAATGGGTTCTATGTTGCTCAGGGAACTCATATCCAGCACCAGTGAAACATTGGAGCCCCTTCTGAAAGGCAAAGCAGCCTGATAACACACACTGGGGCTGGAGAAGACAATTCATAAAAGGGCTGACGCTATCATTAGGCCAAGTGAGCCAGATAACTTGGGGTCTCACTGAAGTATAGCAAATTACTAGCAATTTAGGTTATTATTGGTGTCTTTTTCCTGACTGAGAGGGCAGCTTGCCTCAGGTGTCAAAACAACTCTGCTAGCCTTGGGTTCTCTACATTTTGACTTGAGGGAGGGGATGCAATTTGCTCTGCTGCCTCACGCAGCAGAATCTTAGCCATAATGTTTCCCTCTCTGCAAAAAAGAGCACTCTTCAGTTCCTACAGCCATCATAACATTTTCAGTTTTTTAAATTGCATTTCATTTCTGTAACACCCAATAGCTGAGGCATGAGAGATGCCTGCATTCATATAGACGTGTGCCTGGAAGAACTACCAGGATGCATTTACTGTCTGATACATGTGCTTCCTGCAAGCAGCACATAGTAGAATTTTAGCCTCATAACTCCATATGGTTGATTAATCCAAGACAGAGTTACATATTTACTCATTTATTTAATTGTATTTATATTCCCGCCCTAATTAAAAACAGGGTGGGTAACAATATTAAAACAATACAATGCAATAAATAATATGAAATATGAAATCAATCACACCTAATAAAACCAATAACAAGCAAGGGAGATCAATAAATACACAACAGAGATCCAGTCATATCCATCACCTGACCTGATAAATGCCCGGGCAGACAGACAGGTCTCACCTTGGTGCTGAAACACCATTCCGGTTGGCTCTAAGCATGTCTGTAGGTGGTGGGCTTTCCAGAGTTGGGACATCACCAGGGACAAAGCCTGCCTTTTGCACTTTCCCTAGTGCCAGGACACTGCAGTAGGTCTCTCCCCCAGATCTCAGGTCCTGGGCAGACTTAATTCTGGGAGAGGGGTTCCTTCAAGGGAACCAGATTGAGGTGTGCTTGCTATCTAGCAAGTACCAAAGAGGAGTGAGGTTTTTTTTATTCCCTGCACTGCACTGGTTCTCCCGATTATGAAGAATGGAATGCAGATTGCAGAATCCATCCAAATAGATCTTTAAATACTACTCTTGAACATGCAACATACAATCAGTAAATTGGCCACATATTTGTCCTGACAACAGCTTTCAAGTGTCAAGTGTTGACCAGCCTGAAGGATCTCATGTCAGGCCAGCTTTAGGCTGATACCCTGATGTATAAAAATTATCTTGAATCTGGTCTACTTTCCCTTGTATGTTGCTGGAAGCAGCTTAGACCCTAAGGCACTAGGAATGCTTCTGTGCTTCATGTTCCTGTTTTCATCTGTTAAATTAGCATTTGCCAAGCTGGTGCCAATGGCTATGCTGACTGGAGATGATGGAATTGCAGCCCAATACATCTGGAAGGCTGTGTTAAGTCTAGGACATGGTTTCCTCTCTCACAAGAACTGTACAGTAGAGTCTGTATAGATACATTCTTGGGCCCTGATATTTGCTGTGGGTTTCTGGAGGAAGGAGCACTAACTAGCAACTTACCGATCCTGCAGACGCACATGTTTCTTAACTTCCTGGCTGTTGTAAGTATCCTTGTCCATTCCTTCCCTCATTTGCTGATGTAGTAGAGTGGAACTATGAACTCCGGAGCATGCTGAACAGGCCTGGACCATGCTGTGCCAGCAATGGATTGTCCGTACTGTGGCATGAAAGGCCGGTAAACAGAGAGAGCCCTGAAACCTGGTACCGTGCAAGTCAATGAGCCCGTAGTGTTGGAGAAGCACCTGTCAAAACCACAGAGCAAATCATTCGTCACAAAGAGCTTTGCTGTCTTCCTGCATGTCAGTTGTTCTCCTATTAGGGACTAACATGACACAACCACGATCAGTCAACCAACAACTAAATGCAGCAGCCCTGCTCAGAGAACGTTGATGTCCTGGGAACATTTTGAGGGGCCGAAAGGGCTTCCAGGGTGCAAAATCAAATTACTTCCTGCATTCTGTAGGAGAAAGTTTCCAAGTTTTAGAAGTGATCCGTTCATGCAGGCAGCCTTCCCTGACCTGCTGCCTAACAGAAGTGTTGGACTACAGTTCCACTTATCTCTAGTCAGTGTAGCCACTGGCCATTAAAGCTGGAATTTGCAATCCAACACATCTGGAGGGCAACAGGTGGGGAAAGGATGCACAGGGGCTGGTGCAGTTCTATAACCTATCTCACCCTAAGAAACAGTTTAGCAAATTTGAACCAGTGAACAGAGAATTTTGCCCAGCCAAGACCACCCCACTGACAATCCACTTTACAGCAGTCCCATTTAGAACCAATAAAGGAGAAGGCCAGAAGGAGCATAGAGATGTGCAACCAAGTTCATGAAGCATATACAGCCGTCATCACAGTTGCTTTTTTTCCCAAAGAAACCACAAGCCGATTCAAAAAAATGGGTGCACCATGTTTCAGGCTGCCTTTGGACTATACGAAATATACACTTTACTCTTGCTCATCCTCCGTATTTTCTTCCTCCTTTTTCATCTCCACATTCCCATCAGGAGTTGTGCAGATTTCCCCACCACACACCTACCCTAACCTGAGGGCTCTGAAGGAGATCTTTACTCACCTTGGGCTGTCAGCAGCCCCATCTCTCTTGCTCTTTCTAGCCAGCGGCTGCAACTCTTAGGAGATGTGGATGCACAGTGAACACATACACACAAAAGTGACTGCAGGAAATTCCTTGTCACCAAGCTGGTGGCTGTTCTGACACTTCCCCCTCTTGCTCCACCCTTGCAGCCACCCACACACATACTGGCCACAAACTTTGCAGCTTCATCTGCAGATATGCTCAGCCCCTTGGTGAGCTTTTGACAAGGCTGCCTGGAGAATCTGATCTCACCCTGAGGATCATCAGACATTCTCTTACTTTAACTGCCCAACAGGGTATGGTTATGTCTCTTACTGTGGATACTGCAGCTGCAGAATGTCTTCTTAGATATTTGCTCTGCTAACCCTACATGCTACTTGTGCCTGCTTTATAGATGAGGAACTTGAGCTGATCCGTAAGGAACAGGAATGTAATAAAGCAACAGTGGGGAATATGAGAAGATCTGTCTGAACAGATCTGGTAAGGCATATAATATCAGAGTGGCTTGTGCTACAAAAGACCAAAGAAAAGCATTTCTGGGGTATCTATACAGGATGCTGTATTGGATGGACTCTACTGGAAGAATGGCAAGGAAGGTTATTAAGATTCAGCAGGTAGTGTAATGAACTTTCCCAGAATCCAAAACCCAGGATAATTTCTTGAAGCTAAGCCAAGGCCTTCACCTTGTTGGGAAGAGCACCAGAGATAACCAGAGATAATTACACTGACTCTGTTTTCTCCAGGATCTCCAGATTCTGTAAAGAAGGGGGGCTTTTGCTATGAGATGAAACTGCCTCCTTAACTGAAGCAGCACCACCCCCCAACCTGCATCTTGTAGGAAGAGGGGTTAGAGCAGTGTATACTGACAACCCCTGAAGCAGTGCAAAGGAACTTTATAAAACCCACAGCAAGAGTCATTGTTGTTTGTTCTCAGCCTGGGGAAAGGAGCTGATACATCACTCGCCTGTACAACTTGGAGGTGCACAGAGCATCCTCTAGCCTATTCGGGGAAACAATTTGGCAACAGAGAAGGGGAATGCAGGGCTTTATTTTGATTGTTTATGTTCTACATCCATATTCTATCACAGTATTCAGTAAAGCATGTCTTTCATCTTTGACACAGGGGGTTTCTTTTTTTCCTAATCCAAAGTGAGGAGGCTTGGTTGAACCAGGCCTGGGCTTTAAACATTTGGTATCACAAACAGGATACTTTGGTGGACCTAAACACATGAGTGCAAAGAAAACTTGGGGGCCAGAGGCTACAAAGGCAGTCAGTGACATCTGCATGGGGTCCAGAGGTGAGTGTGTTGAGTTGGGATGCTTTCCACCCCATGTGCTGGAATACAGATTTGCAGGGGAAGGAACTATTCCCTGTTGTTCTAGAGCTGTGCATATGAGAACTGGAAATTGAAGGGAAGAAGCCAGAGGCAGCAAGGATGGGGCAGCTTTTCCAGGTTTTCTTATGAGACTGGTAGGATGTGAACCAGAAACAGGGAAGCACTAAGAAATCCATCTGTGATGAACTATGGGTGCTTAAGGAGGGCACTATTCCCTCCTACACAAGACATTTGAGCAACCAGAAGAGAGGCCAACTGATAGAGAACAAACAAGATTGCCTAGCCATCAGGTTGGTTAGGATGAACAGAAAGAAGTGCAGTTCGCAGGGCTCAGGATAAGATCGGGACATCGCTTGGGCCTTGACCAAATGGGCTGGTGACATCTGGGAATTTTCTGTGGAAAGAAAATTGACTGTGGGGAAAGCAGCTGCCTAGGAGTCAACTCTGCAGGCTTGTCTGCTGCTTCAAACAAGATGAAGGACCTCTGGAGCACACAGTGATGAAGGACCCCTGGAGCACACTTCTCCCTCGTGAATCTGTCCAAACCCCTTTTAAAGTTGCACGTCATCACTTCCTGTGGCAGCAAATTCCATAGTTTAACTCTGTGCTGTGTGAAGGAGTATTCCTTTCATCTGTTCTAAACCTCCTATCAATCAGCTTCATGTCTCTTCTCTACATTCTCCACAGAATGCATTATGTTAAACACCACCATCATGAATCCCCTTACTTGCTTTCTCTAAGCCAAACAGGCCCCGTTGTCATAGCCCCTCCTCATAGGGGAGCTGCTCCAGCCCCATGGCCATTTTTGTTGCTCTTTTCAGTACTTTCCCCAACTCAGTAGTGTCCTTTTTAGGTAAGGAGACCAGAATGAACATACAATTCCAGGCATGGTCGCACCAAAGATTTGTATAAGCGAAGTAAGATCTTGGCAGTTCTATTTTCTACTCCGTTCCTAATTATGGCTAGCATGGAGTTTGTCTTCCTCACAGCAGCTGAGCCCTGGACTGACATTCTCATTGAGCTGCCCATCACTACCCCAAGATCCCTTTCTTGCTTAGCCACTGCTAGTTCAGATCCCATCACTGTTTACTTGAAGTCTGGAGAAGCTTACAAAAATGGATTGTCTGGATCATTGTTTCAAGAACCGCTTGTGGGCAAATGTGACAGATTAACGCATGGAATGCATTGTATGGCTTCTACCAGATGAATGACAGCAAGGTTATTAAGGTTCAAAAGGTAGTATAGCAAACTTTCCCTGTGTCCAAAAGCCCAGACAGCTTCTTAAGATCTTACCAAAACCAACAAGTCTTCAGCTTATTATGAAGCACAGCAGAGATAATTTCTTTGAAGCTACCCTCCCCAGTCATTGGAAGCCTGCGTGTTGTAGTGGTTAGAGTGTTGGGCTGAGACTCAGGCAATCTGCAGTCTAATCTCCATTCAGTCATACAAGTCACTGGGTGACTTTGGGCCAGTCACGGACTCTCAGCCTAATCTCCTGGATTCTCTAAGGGTCTTTGCTGTGGGGATAAAATGGAGAGGAAGAAAATCTGGGTTCCGTGCAAGAGGAGGAAAAGGGGGATATAAATGTAAAATGTAATATAATAAATAATAAGGGCTTCTACTGCTGTGAGAGCAAAGCTGTTTGCTCACTGAGGCTGTTTACTCTAGGAAAGAGGGGTTAGAGTACATGGAGAATGGAACTTTAGAAAATCCATGGCAAGCAGCACTGTCTTTTACTCTCAGCATGGGGAGAAAATCAATGTGCCATTCATACAGGCATGGTTGCAGCCGCATGGGACATGTCTTGGTCTATTCAAGGAAATGATATTGCAAACAAGAAAGGGCATGTAAACTTTCTTTTGCTTGTTTATATTCTACATCTTGTATTGCATAAACCGTCTATTATAGGTGTTTTGTTTCTTCCTAAGTGTGCTCTGGGGTTTAAACAGTTAATATGTGATGCTTCTGAGACAAATTCCAGCAAGAAAAACCAAGGATCTTGGCACCAGAACCTGGTGGTGTTCCTGTAATTGGGATGTTATTTCTCTGATCAAAGTAATTGTTTCTGAAGCTGAACCATGTTGATTTTTCTTTTTCTTCTCCTTTACTTTCCTTTTATTATTAAATAGTGGAATACTCTTGTTTCTAACAGTTATTTGACTTGCCTCAACAGGGCATCTGTGCACACAAAATACACAGTTGGGCTTCTCATGAAGCATGTATACTTACTCAGAAGTAAATCCCATTGTATTCAATAGACATTGCCCCTCAGTGTATGTGTATAGGTTTGCAGCCTCACACTTCAATTGTGATAGGACTTTCATATTTATTATGTATTTCATCTCTATACCACCCCATATTCAAAGAACTCATTTAACTTGTGGAGACAGGTGCAAAATAATGGCTCAGGATGGGCATGAGATGGCAGAGCAAGATGCCTTTGAACACAGAGTCAGCCTAGGAATCTGTTTGCACTTCTGGAATGAGAGCTACCCACAGACCCTTTCACTCACAAATACACTTCTATGTTCTCCTAAGTTTCTTGATTTCAGAAGCCTAATTCGAGAAGGGTGGGAGGAGGTTGTTGCTGCTGCTGTTGTTAAGACTAAGTCAGAAATCCTGGCTTCCTACAGCAAACTCCCTGGGGAGCTGCCAGGAGCTACCAGTCAGCCTTCTGCCTCTCCGTAAGAGGATAAAGAGTCCAGCAGGATGAGGCCACAGGTTTACATAGTCTGGCATTCTGTCCACACAGTGGCCAACCAGATGTGCATGGAAGCGCACAAGGAGGACATGATCACAGCAGTGGTGATCTGCTCTTGTTCTCAGAAGCTGGCATTCAGAGGCAGACTCCCTGATAGTGGAGGCAATATAAAGTCGTCATGACTCTAGCCATGAATAGCCTTTAAATATTTATATGCCACCTATTCCACCAACAGCATTCCTAGGTAGTTCACACTACTAAGATAACGCATCCCAAAAGTCACAATATAAAAACTCAGGAATAGAATTTTACATTCCAAATGGATTAAAAAACCCCTCAGTATAGACCTCATGTGTGGAAATTCCCTCAAGATACCAAGATCCTGTGAGATGTATGTGAATGAAGATTCACTGAAGAAAACACAAGGTTAACAAAATAGATATTCAGATACTGCCAGTCATAGGAAGAATGGGAATCAAACACATGTGCTCTGAATAACCACAACATTCAGCCAAGAAAGAGGACTAGGTCATTCTATCTGCCTGCAAGTCAGTTAGGTAGCTGGCCTAAGATACCAATGGCTAATGGCAAGTTTCCAGGCCCACTGTAAGTTGCACTTACTCAGTTAAGTACATTTAGCATTGCTGCCTAGGGCTGCAGGTCTGTGATTTCATAATTCACAGTGAAATCCAATAGCTTCCCCATAAACAATTCCACTTCCCTTGTGGAAGACGTGATTCCCTCAAAGGTGATATTCACCATTTAAAAATTGCAGTCTCTGGAACTGGAAGCTGCTGCATACAGCTACACACTCTCTTTGGGGGCCAGTGCTTCTTTGGCTGGGTTCAGTGGTGCAGCTAGGGCTGGACCACAAGGCCCAAGTCCACACAGTCCAGACCTCCCCCAAGGGCAGGTGGGTGGGGCAGCAGCAAAGGGGACCAGCATGGAGCAGATCCACTCCTGCTGGACATCACGCATCCTTTTCCTCTTCTCATATATAAGGTCAGCTAGCTATCATAGTCAAGAGGAATTGGCTA